GAAATCAGGATCAGTCACTAGGGCCTACTGATAGACTCCTTGCCAGCTGAGCACATGTGGAGCCATCTGTATGTAACAAAATTCACAAAAAACTAAAGGGGACAGAACATAAATCTATTGTGGTTGGGTTAACTGCTCTTCCTCTAATGGACTGTTTAGTAGTGTCTTTTGATACTAGGATATTGTGGAATTTGTTGCATGGAACAGTCAGGCATTATTTTACACATATTTTATACAGCTAAGTCATAGGTGTTGCTTTGCAGGTTGCAAGATTCATTTCTCACAAGCCATCTGTGGAAGAGATACGGGATGATTATCCTGGAGTTACTGTACTGAAGGGCGTGGATTTCTCAAGAATACCTGCTCTCCTGTTAGAAATGCAAGAAATGATGGATTATAAGTATGTGAAATTTTCCATAGAACCTCTGTAAGAGCTTGTAGGAAAGGGCATATCATTTTACAGTTTCACCAATCATGCCTAGTTCTTTTCCTCTACTGGCAGAGGTTACTCAAGTCTCCCCAGGTCATCTTCCCTTCTATTTCTTGCTTCCCCTCTTTACTGTCCATGTCGTCATCCATCTTTCTTTTGCATCATTATTTGCCTCCTCATCCTCCTATACTCTCTCTGTGCTCTTTTTTTTCCATGCATACTTTACATATTTCCTACCTCATTCTCGTTTTTGTTCTCAGTACTTAAATTTGAGCTCTTAGATGAAACATGACAGCAGCTTTAGGCTACCCTCAATAAAATTTCCCCAAAATACTGTCAGAAAGTTCTCCATGAAAGGGCATTTTTCTCACATATTGCAGCTGACTTTCCATTTTAAGTCTAATGACATGGTAGATACTGTGCTCCTAAGAAAAAAAAGAATGTATATATGTGTAAAATATTCTTATTGTTTATCTCAGGAGTAGGAAAAAGGGATATTGGGATATGCTAGTTAAGGTCTGATGTATCATGTCAGGCAAAAAATCTTAATCATGTCATGAATACATGTACCAGTTTTCAGGATGATCTTTTGCATTGGACAATTGCCAGCTATGAAGTAACACATTCTGTTGTACATCTGGCTTTACCAGACTGTATAAAAAATTATATCTATTTTTAACAGGTTAAATACTCCTGCTTTATCTGGCCATTGTTCATTATAGATATATGTATATTGTTATCACTTTTTGAATGTAAGTTTTCTTTGTAAAGATGATCACACTTAATAGGTATTGGAAATACCTTCTTAATGCAACAGTAAAGAGCATCTCACCAGTGATGGTCAGTAGTAGCTGGCCATATCACATGAGAGACACTTGTGTTCTCCAGCAGCTGGCAGTCACTGCTCTAGTAACTGTCCAGAAATAGGCTGTTTTTCTCTTGGAAGTACCTATCATGGATTGCTTAATTTACCATATAATGATTTTAGATTTTATAAAAAAAAAAATACTCTGTATACACACCCAGTATAATTTTGTCAATGTTATTTTCCAGAGCACAGAAGGAAATGGACAAGGCAGGCATTCTTCCCACAGATGTCCAGAGGCTCGAAATCGAAGCCCAGCTCCTTCGAGAGGCCGAGCCCTTTTACCTCAGCCAAGATCTGAAATGGAAACTTCCTGGACATAATGGTAACTTGAGAGTGTTCAAACAGGAAATGTGCAACAATATTCCAGTCCCAGACAATGTAGCAGATTTCATATCCAGCACAAAGGACATATATGACCAACTGAACTCCAAGTACAATATCAATGGAAGCAGTTTACATTCTACAAGCAAAGTAAATTTACCAAGGGATAAAGACATCCTCAGATTACTTAAAGAGGCCCAGGAACTCGGCTTTTCAGGTTCTCATTCTTTTAAAAGTTAGTTGCTTCTTTAATATAAATTGAAAAATGTAAAGTATAGGAGAGAAAAAAGGCATAAATCTTTATTCTTGTCTTGTGATAATTTTAGGCATATTGATATGGACTACATTTAATTACAATTTATATCATTAGTTGATAAGAATCTCAGGTTTAAACCAGAACAGTGTAAAAGATTTATCTAAATTGGGTGCACACATACAGGATATGTACCCACTAACATTTTGTAAGAGTAAGAGATGAAAAAGTACAAGCTTTAGACTAGGATAGGCAGATGTGCTCCTAAAAATGGCTGTATCTTGTATACTTTTATATACATTAGTGTTTAACATTTGCAAAAGCATACAATGTTCCTTTTTTTATAAGAGTTTATAGAATTTTTATACAAAATACAAAATATACAGAACAATATATTGTTAAATCCTTTATCTATTTACATAGAGATTAAAAGTATTTAAAGAGACCAGTTCCAAATGATGAGGGGATGGAGTATGGGTTGGGAGGATGGAGTTTAGTTAAGACTAGTTTCAAATCCATATAGATTTAAAGAGTTGCCATTTAGAAAGTGGGACCTCACCTGATTTCATCTTTCCTTAAATTTTCTGGAAAAAATATTCTTTTTATTAATGCTATCAATATCAGTGTTGTTAATATTATTATAATGCTATTGAAATTATAGAAATATAAGATAAAAGAAACTATTTTTGAAAATCAAGGAATACAGTGAGATAAGTAGCACTAGTAATTGGCTCATTGGTGACTAAGTCCTTGTGGAACCATCTATGTGTAAAGACAATAAATAAACTAAACTTATAGTGGACATGGCATGTATGTACATGCCATCCCTGGTGACTTCAGGTTCGTAATTCACATTGTTAAGACCATGTTTATAAGGATACCCAAACAGGATTTGAGATACAGAAAAAAAGGTAATTTTTTTATACACCTATGTAAATCAGGGATTCACAAACTATGTAACTCATCAACCCCCAATGGAGTTTCAGTTTTTCTAATCATAAATGATAAAATCATTATGAGTAGGAATAATAGTATTAGTAGTTAACCCCTTGAATCTGATTGCTTTACAACAATCGCATTGCCCAAAATCTGGGCTTTAGGCTTGCATGAGCATCCTCTCTACTGGGGGACTGTGGCTTGCAGGCCGGACACACACAAACTCTCAGTGCATTGACAAGACACTATGCCTTCCCTTTGCAAAATTATTTTCTCTTTTTATACACAAGTATTTTTTGTTTTTTTTCCAATGTCTATATTTGTCATTTGATTTGCATTATCCAGATGGTAATAGACTGTTAACTTTGCACAGATACTATATCCTCTCTCTAGGTAGTCTATAACTCAATGCAAACATAAGATGAATATATTTAATATTTTTCCCTTTTTCTTTTTATCCAATATTCTGTACAACCTGCACAGCCTGTCACAGTGGCGCTCTTCCAGTCATTCCACACTCGTTTATAGATGAGAATAAGGAAAAGCCCCTTTCTAAATGCTAAAGAAGTTTAATCACCCTGCAAGAGGTTTGTGCACTTGCGGTGAGCCTTTCATGTCATCCTGGCCTTTAGCTGAAATCCTCACATTCATATCACCTAGTCCACTGCCAGATTTTCCCATGACAGTATGTTCATGTCACTTGCATCTCAAGCCAGATTTCTTTGTGACGTGATGGTCACATCATCCAGGTCATAAAGGTTAAAATACTGGCAATAGACCTGCAAGAGACTATGAGTGGGAGTATTGGTTGAAGGTAGTACTGCCAAAGCTTCAGAAATTTTTAAATATTTACTGAAATTTTGAACTATAGTCCCCCCCTAATCCCTTTCTTCTTGTTGCTATGGGGGGCTTAAGGCATGGAGACCCCAACCTTGGACCTCAGCCCTCACCTCAACTAATTTTGCATGGTCTTTTCTTCTGTCCCTCTCCTTTCTTTCTCTTCTGTCCACTTCCTAAGGCGTGAGAGCCATGCTGAAAGGATGAAAGGCTGGCTTTGTGTCAGTCATGAACGGCCTCTGGGAGCCATGGGCAGGGCATTCCCTTGGTTAATTGTCTAGCCCTTACCCCTCATGGGAACCCTGAGGTGTAGGCTGTTTCTTCTTCCCATTTATTTCAGGCTCACCGTGGCCAATACTGAAGACTTTTTACCCTTATTAGGGGCATTAAGGCTTGTCCCTTCATCAACTAGCCTATCTAAATTTTATTTCATTGGTTTCCCAACCCTTGCCTCTCATTTGACTACAGCTCTGAATGATGCTAATACCTTCTCGATGTTTGCAGTCAACTCTATCCTTTCCGAATTATCCATCCAGGTCTTTACTCGTCCTTCAGAATACACCCCTTCCTCTGTTCCAACATCCTCCACTCCATCTTCTACTTCACAGTCTTCTTCATTGTCTACCCTCACTCCCCTTATTACTACTCTTCATCCTTATTGTCCTCCTCTCAACAGTACTACCTCTCTCCATACCACCCCATCTTCCTACCGCCCTCATCTCGCTCACATTCCTCATTGATTATGATGCAGTGGCAGTCCAGTGCTATGTTATTCCTCCCAGAGGCCAACATAAGTCCTACACTAATATTGCCAAGATCAGCTTCAGTAGATATGACCTCCCCCATGAAGTTTATATTGGTGGAGTGACCTGCCCTGTCCGACCATATCAACCCCTTCCCCGTCAATATCAAAAATGTTTGATGTTTGGCCACCCAGCCAAACACTGTCACTCCACATATATGCTCACCTACTCATGCACACACACCTACACACCTACACACCTACACACCTATACACCTATACACCTATACACCTATACACCTATACACCTATACACCTATACACGCACACGCACACACCTACACACACACCACACACCACCACACACACACACACACACACACACACACACACACACACCACACACACACACCACACACACACACACACACACACACACACACACCACACACACACACACCACACACACACACACACACACACCACACACACACCTACACACACACCTACACACACACACCTACACACACACACACACCCCTACACACACACACACACACCTACACACACACACACACACCTACACACACACACACACACTACACCACACACCACACACCTACACACACACACACACACACCTACACACATACCTACACACACACCTACACACACACCTACACACACACCTACACACACACCTACACACACACACACACACACACACACACACACACACACACACACACACACACACACACACCTACACACACACACACACACCTACACACACACACACCTACCTACACACACACACACCTACCTACACACACACACACCTACACACACACACACACACACACCTACACACACACACACACCCACACCTACACACATACATATAACGTGTGTGTGTGTATATGATATTATATATATACATATATATATATATATATATATATATATATATATATATATATATATATATATATATATATATATATATATATATATATATATATATATATATATATATATATATGTATAAACATATATGTGTACATATCTATGTGTATATATATGTATACATATATATACACACATATATGTATATGATCGAGCTGGCTACGAGATGTCTGTCGGTCCCCATGGCTCTGGAGCTGATCCCAGCAGTGAGAACAGCCTCCTTCTCCGGGACTTTACTAGGTCCCAGAGATTCAAGATTTCTGGCTCCTGGTATCAGCGCTCCAACCCGCACCGCTGGACATGGTATAGAGATACGGACACAGTCGCCAAGGATATCGACCACATTCTTGTTAGCACTAGCTGGAAGATCCTTCAGAACTGCAGGGCTTGCCAGGGTGCCGAGGCTGGTTGTGGCCACCCTACGGGTCCACTTCAAAACTCCTCGTCCCTCCAGTGGCCACTCTAGGATGTCTCACTTGGACAGATTGAGGGGGGGAGAAGTATGCCCGGAAGTTCGCCACGGCAGTGTCTGACCGGTTCACGGAACTTGAAAACTTGACGGACCCAGTTGCTTTGTAGGAGTTCTTCAAGCGCGAATCACTCGAGTCCATTGGCGAACGCCCGAGTACTCGGCAATGTCTCTCAGGAGACGATTGGAGGCCACAGAAACGTGTTGCATGACTCGGCAATTAGGACTTATGCCATTCCTTGGTGCGTAGGGCTTGGGCACTGCTGAGAAGGAACAAAGAACAGTTCATCAGGAACCTTGCGGAGGAGGTTGAAGGCCTTTTCTTGGTAAATGGCCGAGAAAACTGAATTCTAAGCTCTCCTCACAGCTGACTGCAATCCGTTCAGGGGATGGACAAATCCTCTTAGATCATGTTAGGATTCGTGAACGTTGGGCTGAGTATGTTGAGCAGCTGCACCAGGTAGGCCCTCCAGCAGTTAGTTTGAATGCAAGTCGTATCACAGTACCTGCCGGGTCCACCATCAACGAGGAATCTCCTAACTGAAGTTAGGATGGAGATTTCTTAAGCTGAAGGGTGGGAAAACTGTAGGCATGTGTGATCTCCCTGCTGAACTGCTAAAGGCAGGCGGCGAACCTATGGCACGGGGCTTGTATACAGTTTGACTACCACCTTGCAGTCTGGTTCCATTCCCCCTGACCTGTTTATGGGCGTGGTCATCCTTCTCTGGAAGGGTAAAGGGGATCGTTAGGACTATAGCAATTTCCGTGGCATCACATTGTATACCAGGCAAGTTTTTGCCCACATTCTGAAACCGATCCGTGACCACCTACTAAGGCACCAGAGACCGGAGCAATCACGTTTCACTCCTGGCAAGACCAGAATAGAGCGTATTCTAGCACTTCAAGTCATTGTAGAACGCCGTCGTGAGTTCGGTCGTGGGCTACTCGCAGCCTACATCGACCTCAAGAAGGCATTTGACACTGTGCATCGAGAATCGCAATGGGAGATCCTAAGACTTAGGGGAATTCCAACATGGATTATTGGCCTAATAGTAAGCCTATATAATGGTACTTGAAAGGGCTGTAAATTATGGTGGGGGGCCTGTCGAACTTCTTGCCTGTTAATTCGGAGGTGAAGCAAGACTGTGTCCTTGCGCCAACACTTTTCAACACCTGCATGGACTGGATAATGGGCAGAGCTACTAACCAAAGTCATTGTGGAGTAACACTGGGCAATATCAAGGTCACAGACCTTGACTTAGCCGACGATGTTGCTATCCTATGAATCTCTGGAATCACTGGTGGCGGCTCTAGATGCATTTAGCAATGAGGCGAAGCCCTTGGGCCAAGAGGTCTCCTGGACTAAGACCAAGTTTCGGGACTTTGAAGGCCTGTTAGAGGAACCCGTTCAGTCGATTCATGCTTGCTGTGAGGACATTGA